GGGTCAAGCCTGTTCTCCATGCCCTTTACTCAAAGGCATGAGCTCTGAGGACACAGTTCTTAGTAAGTACTGGTGCAATGTGTGGGTCCTGCTCAGCTCCACATGGAAGGGGTAGAAAGCACCATTATGACTAAATGCTCAATAGGGTATCTTACCAGAGAGCAGTCTAGTGCCTGAACTGTGGGACCTGAAGCCTGCGGGTAGATCTACCCTATCGGGACAGAACACAGAGCAGCACTGGTCTCAAATTCAAGTCTTGTTTCTCAGTCTCCACTCTGCAACCTTCTGTGATATATTTTACCTGTGTGCCTGTCTCCATACTCTTTCCAGAAAGAAAGTAGTATGAAATGGTCTCCAAGCTTCCTCTAGGCCTGAAGTCTTCTGATGTTCACCTGTATTACATTTAATCAGATACCAAAACATTTAATAGAATGTAGCAACTTTCATGTGAGTTTTAGAATGCTTCAGTAAAGCTGAGTGCCTATCACAGAAGCAGGCTTCAGATGTCTGCTTTGGAAGATCTAAAATGAACCAGAGGCTCAAGACCAAGTCTCTACAAAGGGTCATGCAAGCTCAGTGTCACTTTATAAGGATTCTGCTTTATGCCCACTTCTGTTTGTCAAGCACATTCACATTTTCTGTGACTTTATCTAAAACTCCATGCTGGTCTTACTTTGTCTTTAAAGGATTCCCAAAACCCAATAAGTCATAATTCCTATCACAGACAATAGGAAAGAAAATATATATATATATATGTTCTAAAATGGCAATATTAAATAACCCTTAGACACATGTCAGTATATAACTTTATAAATAATTAAAACTAATAATTAAAAATAATTCATTTCCTTAATTGTATTATCCATAGTTCGAGCACTTAATAGCCACATTTAATTACTGGCTACATAGTGACAGCACAGGTTACAGAACATTTCCACCACTGCATAAAGTATACTGGACAGTAGTGAATTACTCTGGAACCAGATTCCACAGTGCCCCTGAAGTGCCATTCCAAGTTCCCCCACTTAAAGCAGTTGTGCAGGTTTCCCTTTCAGACACACTTGGTACATCCAGGACAACAAAGCTGGCAAGAGCTGGGGCTGCCTTGAAGATTGAGCACAGAGGCTTCAAAAATCACAGGCTGTTGTGAGCTATAATTCCTTGTGGATAATGGAAAAGCCAAACTCTCAAATTCTTAATTTTCCATTCCATCAAATTTTATTCTCTTATTTCTTCTAATGATGCATAGTCCCCTCATACTGTTGATTTTAAGAGAGGTGGGACTCTGTCTCAGTTTCTCACACAGTCTTAAGTAGTCACCAGTGGTATTCTTTAAAAAAAAAAATAGAAAAATGGGGACTGGAGAGATGGTTCAATGGTTAAGAGCAGTGGCTGCTCTTGCAGAAGACCCAGATTCAGTTCCTAGCACCTATAAGAGTAATAAATAAAATATAATTTTTGAAAATAGCAAAATGATGTTCAATGGTTTTCTGATTTAATGTGGAAAGCAAATTTATCTAAAATGTAGTTGACACATCTATATTAGGTAAAATTCAGAGTTTAAATTCAGCCAGGAAACTTTACAAAAGCTCAAAAAATGTGAGAACCTAAGGATGAACCAAAGAGTCATTTTAACTGAATAAGTTCTTGTATCTCCAGCAGGTCCAGTTTGGAAAAGTGGCCAAACAATGCACTGTGTATATCAGCCTTCATTAGCAACAGGCATCCCATATTCTTAGTGTTCCGACTTCTAGAACATTGTTTCCTATAAAATTTCTTCATAGCTTACAAAAAAGAGATACAAAGATATTCAAGATTTATTTTGGTTTTTCTCTAAAATTGTAACTATATGGAAACAGAAAAATTGTTAATGTTAAATACTTTTGAAAAACTAAAAAGTTACATCTTTGAATTGATGAAGTTAGTCCAGTTTTTACAGACCTAGAAAGAGATAGATTTCTACTTTTCAGCAAGGGAATTTGAGGCACAAGCCATTCAGTGAAAGAAAAGTGATTCCATATTCTTACCTAATTATTTAATCTACCACCATGAGTTTCTGTGAAAGCAGATGAAAATTGCTAGAGCATCAATCTACATGCTTTTTTTAGGACCAATCATTAAAAAATCAATTAATATTTTGATCTCCAGCATGCAAAAGGAAAAAATCAATTAAGTCAGTTTCTTCATCCTAACCTTGACATAGATTTGTACCCATCTGGCTTGCCTTTGAGGTGAAGGGAGTCATCAATAATCCTTACTCAGCAATCACACTTCCTTCCCCTTGTCCCCTGCACTACAGACAGAAGAAACAGAATGGGTTCTGGCTCAGAAATTAAAAGTGTATAACTAATAATTTTCCTGGTCTTCTAATAACTAAACTGACAAAGCAGTTCAAAACAATAAGCTCATCTCAGATTATTCAGCACTAGGATGATGGTGTTCTGCCTCCAGATGAGCACAACTCTTTGGACAAACAAACAGATCCTTGGTTTCAAGAGGAGAAATATGGTAGAATGTGTAGGGAAAGGTGAAAGATAAATTAACATTAAATTTTCTTATATATTGTCCTATATATAAACCATACTGCTGTTTGAAAAGATTTAAGGGAGAAGCAGTAAATAATCTACTACACATACCCACATACATGCCTTTATATATTGTAGCATACTGCATAGCATATAATTATATGCATATATATCAAAATATGAGTATACCAAAAGAATACTGGACAATATGCAAGTTTTGAAAAATACACGTTTGTAACAACTATAATTTATGACTTCATGATATTAAAACAATTATTTTCAAAGGAATAGATAAGAGCTTTCTAAACGAACTAATATTACATTTTTTTGGCCTAATAAAAGAAACTATGGAAGGTGGCGAAGCAGGAGGGGAGGGGAGAAGGGATCTAAATTTGATTAAGATATATTTTACGCAAAGCTCAAAAACTCAAAAAAATATTAAAAATGAAAAACTCTTCTAAAGCCTAGTATTAGATTTCTTTCAACTACAGAATCTTGATTAATAATCCAGGATGACTGTTTTCCTTTCAAAAATGTATTGATCATTCACTGTACCAAGTGCTGTCTACAAATTGAAGAATTAAAGCTCCCTTCATAATTTTGTTGTCAAGAGTAATCATTTATTTGTTTAAGGTGGATGCTTTGTTTTGATTTATGTTATTTGTGCCTGTGAGTAAATTAAAATTTGATTTAATTTCACAGATCTTGCACAGAGACACAGGCTTAGCCAAGACATTATCAAGGCACACACCTCATGTCAATTAATAAATACCTACTCATTTAAAAACAAGGAAAAAAAGGAACTCTAACTCTTTCTAATTAATCTTTTCTTGTCAGGAAAATCAAACTTTAGTCAGAAATGTGTATATGCAAGCTGACATACACAGAAGAATACATAGAATATAGTGGTGAATATTTACATTTTCTTTCAAAAATCCAAATTTTTGTTCCAACCATAAATGAAAGATGAAGACTCCAACACCCTAATTTCTCAATTTCATCAATACAACTTTGTATAGATGTGTTGAAATATCACACGGCACCCCATAAATATGCAAAATTATCACGTTAATTTAAAACATTCAAAGGAGGGTGTGGAAGCACAGGCCTGCTGTTAATCCCAGCACTTGGGAAGCAGAGACAGGCAGATCTCTATGAGACTGAGGCCAACCTGGCCTACATAGCAAGTCCCAGGCCAACTAGAGCTACCTAGTGACCACAAGGAAATTCTTCCAACAGCTGGTCAGTTACTCTTATGAACTCACAGCAATGGTGACAGAATGCACAAGTCCTATGCAGGTTCAAACCAGACATCTCAGCATAGACATGAAGAAGTGGGTAAGAAATCCCAACACAACCTAAGGAATAATTGACGATTGATGTCTGCTGGGAAAGGCCAAGACAGTGCCTTACAAGGATGGGACTCTCAGTGGGCCCAGTGAATGGACCCACACTGAAGGACATTTGAGGACACAAATCGGACCCTATGGGCCATATTATATATTTCATATATGTGTACATATATATATGTATATCATGTACATGAAAGTACATTAAATTGGACAGAGAGCATTGAGGGAAGGTACAGAAAGGGGAGGAGACCCAAATACTAGCAAACTATATTGTGTGAAAATTGCAAAATTTCAATAAAAATTAAAAATACTAAAAGCCAAAAAATAGACAAGGGAAAGCAATCTAATTTTTTAAATGAATTCTCACTTTTAATCATTCCCTCTGCTTCAAGTACTCTTTCCACCTAATTTCCACTCAATTTTGTCCTTTGTGTCTGAGCTAAAGGTCACGTCATCCATCAGCCAGGGCTTCCTGACAATCCCACTTCTTTCACCTTCTTTCTCCCAGACACTACCCACCACACTGCCGTTACTCGTTGAGTCATTTATCCCAATTAGTAATTACTCACTCTTCATCTGTTTCTGTGTGTGCTATCTCCCCCACAAGAAGGCTCACTGTTTATTTTAAGCACCCAGCATGGTGGCTGGCAGGGGCAGCACTCAGCACAGATTGTGGTTGAATGAATGAAGTCATCCTCCCTTGAGCCTCCAGCATGGCCCTTCCAGAACACAGGCAGACCAAAGGCTAAGAAGTGGATTTTGCTAGATGTATTCAATCCCACTGTGCTTTGTGTACATTTTAAAGTCTACTCCACTGGAAAGAGAATCGAAGACTTCCTAAGTACCTTTTCACTCCTGGGAGTTTCCAGAAAACAAATGACTTCCAGTGAACTCAGCTCCTTAAGTTTTATCTCTCTGTATCTATATATGTCAATCCCCAGGTAAAATGAAATTCCTACTTTAAAGACAATTTCTGTAGAATGAGAGAAACATTTCCAAAGCACATCCTTTCCAGAAAGCTCTCCACCCCTGCCCTTGACTATTTGGGTAGCTTCACAGACACCCTTCTGGTCTTTCCTCATCTGAAGGCCATCTGAATTAAAAGACCACAAGAACTTCTTACCTGGAATCCTTTCTGACTCTTGCTTTCTCAAAGGAGAACTCAGGGGGTTTGTTGAGGTCATAGGTACGGGTGGTTGGCTCTGCAGATACCCCAGCCTTTGCTCCCCTCCTGCTGTGGAGAGAGACCAATCCTGAGGTTTTTCGGTGGATCTCCAGAGGTACTTTTTCTGGAGAGACCTGCAGAGGGCTTCCTCCCTGCACATGAACTACGTCTTGCAGCTTGTTCAGCTGGATGCATTTGCTCTGCAGTTCCTCTGTAAGCTCCGCGATGGCCACAGTCTGCTTAGCCAGCTGCTCCCGCAGCTCCTTCAAATGGTACTCGCGTTCCTGGATCTCCACATCCTTCCTCCTCAGCTCTCGCTCCAGCTCTGCCACCTTGCTCCGCAGGGCATCAGTGCTGAGGTTTCCTGAGTGGCCATCTGGATGCTTAGAATGTTTGGGTTTCACTGAACCATTTCCCATGTTGCTCACGAACCTGAGAGAGGACACAGAATGACTGAGTGAAGTTCCACTTTCCAATAGCCCTGCTCTTTCCATTCTGCTTCATTGAACAGACATAGTGCATCATTCTTTGACAAGCAAGAATCCCCCCATGCCTCCAGAAGTACACTAAAGATTGTTTTTTTAGCCCTCTGTAAACAAGAGTTAGCATTTGAGTTCATTCTTCTCTGTCCTTTTGGCAGTACAAGTATTACACCTGAGCACTTTGTACAACTGGCCAGAGTTACCTGCTGTTCTCTTTGGTGGTTCTCTCTTATCACAACAAGACTACAGTTTAGATGTCAGCATGGCAGAGATTAGATGCAAAGGAGCAGCTACAGTGACAGAGGCTTGAAATGTCACAACTCTCCCACCCCCGCTGCGGCAACAGTTCAACAGTTAAAAAGATGCCCCTGATTTAGAAATAACACATCTGCATTCCTCACAGGATGAAGGCAGATTTGATGTTGCTTTTTAGCAGCTTTTTCCTGCCTTATGCACTAGGTAGTGCTGCTTTTCTAATAATACGAGCCATTAAAACCTTCTGGATTGTGATCTCTTACAAGAAAACAGAAGTATGGGGATTCTTCTATATATTTCAGTTTAGGTCCTGAAGTCAGATTGTCTAAAAAGTCAAGACCTGTGGTGAGGTAAAGTTCTATTAAGAATATCCTTGACTCCTATCCTCGGGCCTCTTGGGGAACACCGCTTCTGGTCCTGGCCCCACCCTCACTTCTCTCTGCGTCCCTGGACCTGCACCACCAGCTAACTCTCCTAGCCTGCACTCCTATCCTCAGGCCTCTTGGGACCAACTGAGTGCCTTTCTTGGGCCCCAGGAGCACCGCTTCTGGTCCTGGACCCCCCCTCACCTCTCTCTGAGTCCGGGACCTGCACCACCAGCTAACTCTCCTAGCCTGCACTCCTATCCTCAGGCCTCTTGGGGTAAGTCTATAGCGCAGCCCTCCGCACCTTGACTCCCCAAGCCACATTCACCCTTCCATCTCCCCTGCTGTTCGCTACCCCTAGTTTGGGACCTGCGCCATCCCTAGACTTGGGGCCCCAGACACCGGGGAAACCAATACTGATTCCTGACCATTCTCACCCAGACGAACATAGTGCCTTTCTTGGGCCCCAGGGGCACCGCTTCTGGACCTGGCCCTGACCTCACCTCCCTCTACTTCCGTGGTCCTGCGACACCTGCCAGCCTCTTGCTGGGGCTGGCAGCCTCTTTCTGGGGCTCCGAGGCTTACCTTGCCTCTCCCTGATCCTTTGCATCAAGTACAACCCAGCTACTCAATCCACTCCCTGGGAAATCTTGGAGCTTCTTCCCACCCCATCTGCCTTTGCATCCCTGCATGGCACGGCCACTGCCAGAGTCTCAGGTCAGTCCAACACCCAAGTTCCTGAGGCCAAAATCATTCTTAGAAGATTCCAGACCTAAGGAGAAAATCTGAAAACTTCTGACCCACATTGGAATTGGGCCACCGCGGAACTTCTGAAAACAAAATCAATCCAGCCATGACAATATAAAATCAAAAGAGAGAACCGGAAGCTTAGACGAACCAGCTCTTCATACCCAAAAAGTAAACCACAAAGACACATAAAGTTCAAAAAAAGAAGCAGAACTAAACTTGAAGG